TAGTAATTAGATATAATTTCACTAAAACAATAAATAAAGTTTATATAATAAGATGTGGAAATTCTGTGTATGATAAAACGCACAAAGCTAGGCAGATTAGAATCAGACAATATAATATTTTATTTGATTATATTGCCTTGATTACTCATGATAATGAATTTTAATTCATAACCATTCAATATTCGTACAGCAGGATGAGTGGCTGCAATTTGTGAAATTATCGCATGCGAATTTCTGCTAAAATATTGACGAAATTTTAAAAGAATTACAGTTTAAAAAGTTTGCAGTTTGCAAGTGAGTCTCTAAATGAATCTCTAAATTAAATAAATTGACTGAAATCTAATTGAATTGGTAAATTTAGTTAATTTGCTTTTGTGAAATGATATTCTAATGGTGAGATTCTTATAATCTCAAATATATACATTAAACTTCGTTAGTTTTTATCTTTAAGCCATGCACTGCCTATGTATGGGCTGTTAGTATTGGTGTTATATTATATTCGCTTCGGGTGCTCGGCATAACCATAATTATCATAATAAAAAAATTCACCTTGCAAGCACCTAACATAATATGCACATGAGGACAATATTAAAGACGAAGACAATTTACATGTTTTTCCCCCAAATCTGTTCTCCATAACGATGTAACAGCCTCCCTGATAGCATCGTTGACGCTCCGAGTATGAACGCCTTCAAGAACAGACTTCCATAACGATGTTCCCTATAACAATGTTTCCAATAATAATGTTCCCCCATAACGATGTTCCCTATAACAATGTTCCCCCATAACGATGTTCCCTATAACAATGTTTCCAATAATAATGTTCCCCCATAACGATGTTCCCTATAACAATGCTTCCCAATTACAATTTTCCCCCATAACGATGTTCCCAATAACAATGTCCCCATAACAATATTCCCCCATACCAATGTTCCTAACAATATTCCCCCTTAACGATGTTCCTACAAAAATATTCCCCCATAACGATGTTCCCGTGACTCCCCCACAGTCCGCGGGGGGCATAGGGCTGGGGCGGGTGAGGGGAGAGGCAGGCACGGTGGGTGCCCGGTACTCGTGGGTGCGATCTCACCCTCTCTTCTCCCTCAACTCCCTCACTGGAGCCCTCACCGTCGCTGCGGACGCCCCCACCGGCGGGTGAGATTATTTCTATTATTTGCTTTTTAATAATAATAATCTATGTTTAGGTTTATCACCCACATGCAAGAGGAGATTATTATTATTATTTCTATTTTGTAATAATTGTACTGGAAACTGAGGTTATATATAATCACTTGCCGGCACGTAAGATTATAATCATTCTACTTTTAATAAGAAGTATAATTTTAACTTTGGTTAATCACCCTCCGTCATGTAAGATTATTATTATTCTTATTTGCGTGAAAATTATAAGAATTATTTCTTTTCACTCCCCAGCGTGTGAGATAACTATTATTATTAATTTCGTGAGTAACAAACTAAAAATTTACGAATAACATAGCTAACGATTAAAATATCTGTACAGAATTATATGACTATGACTTGAATAAAGATATTTTTGTTGTAAATCTAGTAATTGAATGTATTCGATTGCAACATGTAACACAAGAAGTAAACTTCCATAAATAATAAAAGCTGGCATTTAATAATAGCGGCATGTCTCCAGTCTAAATAATATACACTAATAATATAAGCTATATAATATAACTAATCAACAAAAATAAAAGCGTTTGGTGTCACAGTTACGAGGTGCAGGTGTTAGGAGTGTGAGTTATTAATTTACATGTGGGGATTGACATTACCATTGACACATTCCTAGGTAAGCCTCTTAGTCTAAATAACACACACTAATAATATAAGCCAAATAAAATAACTAATTAATAATAATATCACACGTATGTTGTCACAGTTACGAGGTGCAGGTGTCAGTGAGTGATGTGACAGGCCCCTCAGTGGCCCTCAACATCAGCGTGCACCTCGTGCACCTCAGCAAGCAGGATGTGACGCTCGTCTTGCCTGTCGAGGTCGCGGTCACCTCAGCTCACCTCATCAGCAAGGTGATGTGTCTTACATTTATTATTATTTATATGTATTAAATTTATTATTATTATTATTATTTTCATTAAAAAACTAGGTGATGGTCTATACTCTATTTTATTGAATATTATTTATAGATATGAAATATATTATTATTATTTTAATATAAAAAATAGTTGATGGTCTATACTCTACTTTACTGAATATTATTTATAGGTATGTATGAAATCTATTATTATTATCATTTTCATTAAAAAACTGGGTGATGGTGTCTTGTATTGAATATTACTTATAGATATGAAATATATTATTATAATTTTCATAAAAAAACTAGGTGATGGTCTGTACTCTATTTTACTGAACATTATTTATAGATATGAAACCTATTATTATATCATTTTAATAAAAAACTAGGTGATAATACATTTGATTCCTGGGTGAAGTTAAGTAAAAAGTCAAGAATGATTGTCAAGCAAGTTTAGAAACGCAATCAAAGTTTCTTGGAAAAATTTGGGTGCATTGTAAAATGTAAATTTGATCGTTAATTGTAAATCGTAATCGTATAAAATGTACATTTTTTATCGGTATATTCAGTTGCTTTCACGCCAATATCTAATGAACGGGCTGAAAATTTTCCTAACTGAATGGTTATCGTACAAAATTCGAACGAATCCCGCAAAAGTTCATTGGAAATGAGCCTCAGAGAAAATTTTTTAACGAGCTAATAAAAAATTATTTGTTAATGAAGTAATTAGCTCTAACAAACTTTTTGATTTGCTATTCAAATTTGAGCATCATATGGAAGTTCGAGTTTTATTAACAGGGAACCATTGTCCATAAATGTGTTAATATATCAAAAAAAACTATTTTTGTTTGTGACTTGAATAAGCCTATTTGATGCTAGCACATTGTAAACTAGATTATCAATTAGAATTGAAACAACATTGTTCCCACAAAAATTTACTATTGATAAATTTTAAATTACTTGTCTCACTTAACTATGTACTCGAACTACATTTGAACACATAAGAGCCGATCGTTTGAAGGATCATCATAGCAATCAATTGTCAAAAGCGCAAATTTTTGGTCTGAAATGACAGATGGCATTCACGCTGCGAATTTGATTGAATACGAAAATTGCAGCGAGATTTCTGTTAGCGGAACTCAACTGTGTGAGTTAGCAAGTTGTTAGCACTGTGAAACCTGTAACTAGTTAGCACTGTGAAACCATGTAACTATTTTATATACTTTAACAGTCCTGGAAACTATTCATTAGATCCACTAGTCCTCAAAATTTAGTTTTCAACTATCAATACCATAAAAAATATTTAAAATACCTTCAATAATATTTAGCTATATTTAACATTGTCTGTAAATGTGTCAATGGCATCGACAACAGACGTGTTCGTTTACCATCTCGCAGGATGGCAACAAAAGCCTATTGGACAGGCTTTTAGAAAAGCTGAAACTTTGGGCAAACGATTTTACGAATGAGGTTGAAAGTGCGGACTCGGAGGCAGCTCCATGGAGCGTCAAGACCGTCTCCATACAAGAGGTCTACAGAGAAGCAGGCTCAAAACCTGGAGTCAGAGTTTGGTTGTCCACTCCACCCACCACACAACCAAGTCTTGAGATGTTGCTGTATAGGAGCAGACATAAGGTGAGGTGAAGCTAGGGGGAAATAAAGTGAGGTGAAGCTAGGGGGAAATGATGTGAAGCTAGGGGGAAATAAGGTGAGGTGAAGCTAGGGGGAAATAAGGTGTGGAAATAAGGTGAGGTGACGCTAGGAGGAAATAAGGTGAGGTGAAGCTAGGGGGAAATGAGGTGAAGCTAGGGGGAAATAAGGTGAGGTGAAGCTCGGGGGAAATAGGGTTGGGTAAAGCTAGAAATTTTACTTCATGTTCAATATTTTGTGCCTGTTTTGCTCATTAATTACACGATGTGTTAGTTCGTAAATAATGACCAGGAAGTTGTTATAATTACTTTGTATAGTTTTCTTCCAATTAAGAATCAAATAGGCATATTAAATTAAATTAGTTATTACAACATAATTATGATCGAATTTTAAAGAAGCGCCTCCTGAGCATGAATTCAACTAACAGTATTCGCAGATTTTCCGCAATACTGATTGAAATTAACGATTTTTGAAATTGGCGAAGAAAGACATTAAGTATTGATCATGCATAGAGACATTTCATTCCTGTATGATGTTATTTCAATAATAAATGAAAATATGTATAAAGAAAATGATAAGCGACATTTCTATTCGTACAGATAGGCAGTGAGCTGAAGATGGACGTGACAGCGATAGGCGTAGGCAGTGTAGGCCTTTGCGCTAAGAACCTCGGTGGCTGTAAGTGCTGCTGCCAAGACAAGATCATCGTCGGTGAGAACTACGTGCTCGTGGACTCGATCACATCTGTCCACGTGGGTCCTACGGTTCACGTGATTCCTTATTGCGGATGTTCAAAGGAGAATAAATTACTTCCAGCGGCTGGGCACTCGAATGATTCACAGGCTAATAAAATTACCCCAAACGAACAAAATTCTGCGCCGGCCGCACACGCTGTCGTCGGTGAAGAACCTCCGCCTTCCTGCCGTCCTGAGTCCTGTCTTAACGGTGGACGCTGTGTACCGGGACGTGATTTGTCTGTACAGTGTATATGTCCTACGCATACATATGGACCACGGTGCAAGATAATACATAGGGAGTTTAACGTTTACGGGGCTAACGGGGAGTCGCCAAATCTCAGTTCTTGGGCATGGCTGCCGAGCCTGCCGACGTGTTCACATTTGCATATCAGCCTGCACGTTCTCACCAAGAACCTGCACGGCCTGCTGCTATACACCAGCAGTTCTGATTTGAAGAATATGAATAGTTTTTTGGCTTTGCAAATAACCAACGGCAGGCCTCAGATTAAGGTAAAATTAGGGTCCAGTGGAAGGACGTCAACTGCAACGCTTAATGTCACCGTACACGACAACACTTGGCACAGACTTGACCTGCTATGGAGGAATACTGTGAGTATTTCATATTTTAATTCATGTTCGTAGTAGTAAGTTTTTCAATGCATTTCATCAGAGTGGTGCCTATAAATGTTTATCACAATAAAAGCCCGGTTTAAGATCCAAAACTCAAATTTGTTCAGTTATTAGGGTATTATTACTACCTTAAAAGGTATCACTACATTAAAAATTATTTGAAACTAGACAAACAGATCCGAATTATATTGCGCGTAAAAATGTTGAGATAATATTTTTCAGCAATTGTAGACAAGAAAGCTCGAGAGTAATTACCGCAGGGGAATGAAATTTTGTTACGAAAAATAAATGAATGCGAAGTAAATAATAACAATAATAATAATAATAATAATAGTAATAATAATAATAATAATAATAATAATAATAATAATATTAATAATAATGATAATAATAATAATAATAATATAAAAAAATTTTCTATTATCACTTTCACTTTACACAAAAATTCTGCTGTGTTATTTATTTCAATTTCACTGCAGGTTCATTCCTAGTTTCACGGGTGCCTGCTTTTATTAAATTTTTCTCTCAGGAGATGTCCAAAAATGAAGCGATTTATACATGGACTGTTTCGTGTTTTCAGCGTTATAAGATGGTTGTATTGCAGAGTTTGGAAGCGTTTTTCATGTGGTAAGCGTTGGAGTTTGGCACTCGGAGCGCTTGAGGGCAAATCAATATGAGATCAAAATTCTTATGTACTGACACTTGAACTGTGTCGCTCCCGACGCTATCTGACCTGGAGAAATGTTTTAAAGTGATAGCAACGACAGCGCTTCCAAACTTTTATAACTCTTAACGAAACTTGAACGCTTACGCAGACTCAAAACTTATGCTGAAATTCCGGTTTGTAAACCATTTCATGCTCTAAAATTCATTTATTAATGAGAAGCACTGTAAGTATGGGTAGAGGTTATATATTTGTAGATTTTTTGCGGCTCAACTGCGCTCAAGGAAAGCTCAAGAAAATAGTCGCAATAAATCTTGAACAGGTGATCCACGAAGTTGAATGACTCACATTTAACATGAGGTGGAATACGACGAAGAATGAAGACGCAGAGTTTCAAAATTCGAAAATGTTTTATTCTTGATTATAAAAATGTATGAATGGATCTGAATCTACCGAACTGAATTATTTCCTACTTCTTATGACACGTAAATTAATTTTTTTTTTGTGAAAGTTCGTACATTTTTTCTGACGGAAACTTCTCCATTAAAACAAGTGAAAAAAATTCCTCGGGATTTTCTCTGGATCTGAATTTACCGAAATGAATTTATTTCCCATTCGTTCTTATGTAACGGAAATTAATTAATTATTTTTAAAGTTCATACATTCTCTTCTGACGGAAACTTCTCCTTTAAATAAGCAAAAAAAATTCCTCGGGATTTTCTCTTCCCCGTCAGACACTGGAGCTCATATCGGACATGTGTTCGCGGCCTTCGCAGCTTTTGTCCAATTCCAGCGACCGCCCCGATTTTTCAACCAAATTTCCAGACAGCGCCGAATTTTTAGAATCCAACTCAAAAAGTGCAAGAGTATCAAATTGCCGAATAGCTCTCAGGCTACCTCAAGCACCGGCTAGTTTCGGGTGGGGCGGTCCACTGGAACTGGGTGGTCGGGCCCATGGAACTTCTGGACATCGTAATGAGGCGCCCACGGTACCGTCATTCTCCGGCTGTATTGCCAAAGTCCATATCAACGGCCAGGTTGGTTAGGGCCTCACTCTCCAGGGGCCCATTCAGGCCTTCGGGCTTTGTTTATTTCCTATTTTACTGGACAAGTTTGCATTAGTCTAGGTTTTTAATTCATATTTTGATTATATGTTAAGTTATTTTTCTCCATATCAACGGCCAGGTTGGTTGGGGCCATTCAGGCCTTTAGATTTTGTTTATTTCCGAGTTTACTGGACAAGTTTGCATTAGTCTAGGTTTTTAATTCATGTTTTGATCATATGTTAAGTTATTTTTCCCAAATGGTTCACACGCTGTGAAATTTCGAGCCACGCAAGTGGCCTCCGCCTGTACTTTGCCGGGTGTTTCTTTGTATTTTTTAAGCGAGTAATTTTAAACTTCTTTCAGTTTTCACGCTGCTAAATTGATTTTTTTATCTTTTGAAAGCGGGAAAGCTTCCCGGATTCGTTTCCATTCGCCGCTCAATATCGGGAACGCTTCTTTTCTGGCCCTACTCTTGCGCAATTTTTGACAGCATCAATGCCTAATATATCGAAAGTTTGAATTATTTTGATAATTTGAAATTACTTCTCGAACGAGATTTCAGAAACGTAAAGTTTTCTATTTAAGCTTTATGTCAATAAAAAATAATTAAACCGAAGATTTTCACAAATTTGTTGCTGATTTTCTCTCCCCAGCTCTGCATCAAAGAGAAATATTATCAATGATTATAATTATAATTGATAATAATTAATGATAATAATATTCATATTATCAATTATTTTGATAAGCGCCAAAAAATGTAAAATTTAAAATGTCAGCAATTATTTCGGACAAGTCATTAAAGTTGGTCAATATATTGGTTAATAACAACATACTATGAAGGTTCAATAAACTTGTAATATAGGTTCATTATAATGTGATCTCTATTATCCCACGGCAGATATGATTACTGTAACATTCTATAAATGCTGAAGTCTGCAGATTTATTATGCATATTATAACACGCTAAAAGTTTTAATACAACATGCAAAAAATGTATATTCTCACATGTTATGTAGGCATATATGATAACAGGCTACATGCATAAAGTAGGTTCATTATCACGTGTTATGTATATCTATTGCGATATGTTACAATAAACCTTTACAACACTTCATAAAGGTTCATAATAACTTGTTTTAAAGGTTTCAACACTTCATAGAGGTTCATTATCACTTGTTATACGGATTAAACGCGTCATATTAGTTCATTATCTCTTGTTACAAAGGTCACAACAAGTCATACTAGTTTATTATAACATGTCAAGTCATATTAGTTTATTATAACTTGTTATAAAGGTCACAACAAGTCATACTAGTTTATTATATTATGTCACGTCATATTAGTTTATTATAACATGTCACATCATACTAATTTATTATAACTTGTTCAACATAGTCATTAAATAAGTTGTATCACAGCTACAAGACCTGGGCCCGACACCTCATATTAGTTTATTATAACATATCACATCATACTAATTTATTATAACTTGTTCAACATAGTCACTAAATAAGTTGTATCACAGCTACAAGACCTAGGCCCGACACCTCATATTAGTTTATTATAACATGTCACGTCATATAGATTTATCATAACTTGTTCAACATATTTATAACTTGTTCAACATAGATATTATCACAGCTACAAGACCTGGGCCCAGCGCTGCTCAGTAGCGGCAGCGCGGCGGGCTGTCGCTCCCTGGCCTGCCTGCGCCCCCACAACACGTGCCCCCTCCACGCCAGGTGATCACTTCTTATTGATACTAATCATTTATAATGTAAATTAGAATATTTATTTTAATACGCGAATTTTGTGAATAATTATATTTACATGTAATATTGGTATTGGTATAGGTAGGTATTTCACTTTTTCATCAATACTTTATAATGTGAAGTAGAATATTTATTTTTTAATGCGCGAATATTGTGAATAACTATATTTAAAGGTAAAAGGTAATATAATTTTTTATTTTAATACTTGAATATTGCAAATAAAACCGAATATCAGGCTTCAAATCTATACCACGAATGTACTACGAGTATCGATAAGCTGTATTAAAACGTGTGTCATGTGTACCGTAGATTACGAAAATTATTACAATGTTTGAATCACACAAGTTGAATGTATAGGCATTCAGTTCCATATCTTTCATTCGAATGAATTGAATGCGTGCAGTCGTGAACGATATATTTTACTGTGCATAAATTCTCAGGCATTTGTTTTATTCCATTGTCCGTATGGAAAAAAAGAGATCTCACCTAGAATTGAAAGGTTGACATCGTAACACTGCATATATAATGCATTTTATAAATTTTAACTGAAAAATTAATTCGGTTCTTGAAACACATGGGAAAGGCGAATATTGTTTTTAATTTCGCTTTGAAACGTGATGAAGGAAAGATGCTAAGTAATGCAATGCCAATACATTAAGTAATATTATGCCAATATTACTATTGGACTCTTCTTAGGTTATTATATATAAGGTCATCATCATAGGTTAGCATTATTTTAAAAAGATATGGTGTGGCAACCTACCTAATGTCGCTTCTCATGAATGTCAGGAGCTGTAAAGGACCGTGATTCCAAAATTAATAGTTTGCTAAACCATCATTATTTTTAGGCAAAAAATTTATATTCGATGCACAGGCCAATTGATTAGTTTAAAATAAGAAAATCTTTAAATAAACGCCACACTCTCACGTCTTTAATTAAAAAAAATTCTTTCAATGCTTTCTTCGTAGTAGGAATCAAATCATTCAAAAAATATATTTATCCGTCATAAACATGGATAAACTATTGGAAATTTGTAATGTTTCAACTGTGATGGTAGACTGGAGTGATTTGAAGAAAACCATGTTTCACAAAAACTAATTTGTGACTTTTAGAAATGTTGGCATAAATTTTCCTTGGTAGAAATGTCATTATCCAATAAAAATATGGCGAACTATCTTTATTCGATAGAGATATGGTGAATTATCTTTATGCAATATAGATATGGTGAGCTATCGTTATCCTATAAATGTATTGCGAATTATTTTTATCCTATAAGATATGGCAAATTTTCTTAATCCTACATATAAATGCTGAAATTTCCTTTATTTTCTTTGCTTTCAAATTTCTATTAAATTAAAAACAATTCAACTAACGAAACTCGTGTATATTAACCCCAGATGTGTAGGATCCCCGGGGACGGAGCTGTGTGAATGTGTCCCAGGTTACACAGGACACGAGTGCACACAGCGGTCCGTGCCTGTATACTTCCGTGCCAACAGCTTCATACAGCTCGCCTTATCCTTCACTCCACCGCCTCATACCACCGACCTNATAGATAACGATTAAAATGTCTGTACAGAATTAGATGACTATGATTTGAACGAGGAGATATTTGTTGTAAATCAAGGAATTGAACGTATATATGATTGCAACATGTAATACAAGAACTAAAGTTCCATAAATAATAAAAGCTGGCGTTTAATAATAGCTGCATGTCTTCAGTTTAAATAATATACACTAATAATTTAAGCTATATAATATAACTAATCAACAATAATATCACACGTATGTTGTCACAGTTACTAGGTGTAGGTGTTAAGATTATGAGTTGGTAATTGATATGTGGGGATTGACATTATCATTGACACATTCGTAAGTAACCCCCCTAATTCCTAATAATACACACTAGTAATAGAAGCTGAATAAAATAACTAATTAACAATAACATCAGACGTATGTTGTCACAGTTACGAGGTGCAGGTGTCAGTGAGTGATGTGACAGGCCCCTCAGTGGCCCTCAACATCAGCGTGCACCTCGTGAACCTCAGCAAGCAGGATGTGACGCTCGCCTTGCCTGTCGAGGTCGCGGTCACCTCAGCTCACCTCATCAGCAAGGTGATGTGTCTTGAATATTATTTATAGATATGAATATATTATTATTATTATTTGGACATAAAAACGCTAGGTGATGGTCGGTTGTATTGAATATTACTTATAGATGTTAAATTTATTATTATTATCATTTTCATCAAAAAAAACAGATGATGGTCCATACTCCATTGTATTGAATATTATTTATAGATATGAAATCTATTATTATCATCATTTTCACCAAAAAAACTAGGTTATGGTCTATACTCTACTGTATGGAATATTATTTATGGATATGAATCTATTATCATTATTAGCATTTGGGTAAAAAAAACTATGTGATCGACTGATCGTCTCTTGTTTTGAATATTATTTATTGATATGAAATCGATAATTATCACCGTTTTCATCAAAAAAGTAGGTGGTAGTCTCTCGTTTTGAATATTAGTTATAGATATGAAATCAATCAATTATTTGATGAATAAAATATAAAAGTTTAGAAGGACTATTAAAAAATATCGAGAAATTGTCAGGAAGTTTTTTGGGTGGTGTTAATATTGGAATTAAAAAGTTGATTATAAATATTGTTCTGAATTAACTCACACAGAAATTTCCAATTTGGTAGCCCATCCTTTTCGAAATTTTCGACGCTGGTAAGGAAAAGGAACATTGATTGATTCACATTTTCAAAATAGTCTATAATACATTTGATTCCAGTCTGAAGTACAGGAAAAAGTCAGCGTATGAATGATTGTCAAGCAAATTGAGGCACGCAATCAAAGTTTCCTCATAATGCATTGAAAAATTTGGGTGCATCGTAAAATGTAACTTTTTTTACTGTTAAATTCAGTTGCTTTCATTCCAATATCTATTGAACGGGCTGAAAATTTTCCTAGCTCTATGGTTATCGTGCAAAATTTGATTGAATCCCACAAAAGTTCATGGGAAATGAGCCTCTGAGAAAAATTCTTAATGAGTTAAAAAAATTATTTGTTAATAAAGTAATTATTTCCAACAATGTTGATGATTTGCCATTTTAATTTGAGCATAATTTGTATATTCGAGTTATATTAACAGTGAACATTTTCCGTATATCTGTTTAAATTTATAAAGAAATAGTTTTTGTTGTCGACTTTAATTACCCTGGGATTGATGTTTTCTCAACTATAATTGAAAAACATTGTTCCCACAAAAAAAATACTAATGATAAATTTTGAAATATTTGCCTCACTTTACTATGAACTTGAACTACATTTGAACACATAAGAGCCGTTCGTTCGAAGGAATTAACAAAGCAATCAATTATCAAAAGCGCAAATTTTTAGCCTAAAATGACAGCTTAATCCTTGAAGGGTAAATTTCAACTATCAATACTTTAAAAAATCCATTAGATTCACTAGTCCCCTCAAAACTTAGTTTCCAACTATCAATACCAAAAAAATATATTTTTAAATACCCTCAATAACAATTAGCTACTTTTAATGTTGTCCGTAAATATGTCAATGGCATCGACAACAGATGTGTTCGTTTACTATCTCGCAGGATGGCAACAAAAGCCTATTGGACAGGCTTTTAGAAAAGCTGGAACTTTGGGCAAACGATTTTACGAATGAGGCTGAAAGTGCGGACTCGGAGGCAGCTCCATGGAGCGTCAAGACCGTCTCTATACAAGAGGTCTACAGAGAAGCTGGCTCCAAACCTGGAGTCAAAGTTTGGTTGTCCAGTCCACCCACCACACAACCAAGTCTTGAGATGTTGCTGTATAGGAGCAGACATAAGGTGAGGTGAAGCAGAGTAGAAATTAGGCGAGGTTAAGCTCGGATCGAGGAAATAAGGTGGTAGGGTGAAGCTAGAAGGAAATAAGGGTATGTGAAGCTAGGAGGAAATAAGGTGAGGTGAAGCAAGATAGAAATAAGGCGAGGTGAAACAATTAATTAACAGAACTTAGTGAGATTTTTTCCAAGTATCAATGCACTTTTTGTCCGTGTGGTGACCACCCTGGCCAAGCTGTTTAGCCCGACAGATAGGCGTATCATTGCTACGCCCGCTTTCTGCCTCCGCTGCGGGTAAAAAAGCCTACAAGTTAATTAATATGTCAATATGACATATTAATTTTTTATGAATGTAGCTTCGAAAAGGAGTAAGACGGCATATGCAAAAAAAATTATTTTATTTACATTGAATTTGATTTAAAGTTACAGTTTTATTTCGAATGTTAGAAGCTTTATGCCAGGTTAGAATTTTTACTTGCCGTTCAATATTTTGTGCTTGTTTTGCTCATTAATTACACGATGTGTTAGGTCGCAAGTACGGGCAAGGAGGATGTTAATTACATTGTGTAGTTTATTTTCATGTAGGAATAAAATTAATGAGATATGTAAGATTACATATGTAGATTACATTGTATTACTTATTACAAAATAATCGGGATTGAATTTTAAAGAATGGTAGAAAGAAAAAAAAAAAGAATTTTTACGCTTTTTTATTCGCCCCATCTCTGATTCCTGTATGATTTTATTTAAATAAAAAAGAAAATATGTATAAGGAAAATGGAAAGCAACATGTCTATCCGTACAGATAGGCAGTGAGCTGAAGATGGACGTGACAGCGATAGGCGTAGGCAGTGTAGGCCTTTGCGCTAAGAACCTCGGTGGCTGTAAGTGCTGCTGTCAAGACAAGATCATCGTGGGTGAGAACTACGTGCTCGTGGACTCGATCACATCTGTCCACGTGGGTCCTACGGTTCACGTGATTCCTTATTGCGGATGTTCCAAGGAGAATAAATTACTCCCAGCGGTTGGGCACTCGAATGATTCACAGGCTGATAAAATCACCGCGAATCCGCGACTCAAAAACGAGCAAAATTCTGCGCCGGCCGCACACGCTGTCGTCGGTGAAGAACCTCCGCCGTCCTGCCGTCCTGAGTCCTGTCTTAACGGGGGACGCTGTGTACCGGGACGTGATATGTCTGTACAGTGTATATGTCCTACGCATACATATGGACCGCGGTGCAAGATAATACATAGGGAGTTTAATGCGAAGTAAATAATAATAATAATATAAAAAATTTTACTATCATCCCATTCACTGTACACAAAAATATGTTGTATTATTTTTTTAATTTTCACTGCAGGTTCATTACTAGTTTCACTGGTGCCTGCTTTTATTAAATATTTCTCTCAGGAGATGTCCAAAAAATGAAGCGATTTATACATGGACAGTTTCGTGTTTTCAGCGTTGTAAGACGGTTGTATTGCAGAGTTTGGAAGCGTTTTTCATGTGTTAAGCGTTGGAGTTTGGCACTCGGAGCGCTTGAGGGAAAATCAATATGAGATCAAAATTCTAATGTACTGGCACTTGAACTGTGCCGCTCCCGACGCTATCTGACCTGGAGAAATGTTTTAAAGTGATAGCAACGACAGCGGTTCCAAACTTTTATAACTCTTGACGAAACTTGAACGCTTACGCAGACTCAAAACTTATGAATAAATTCCAGTTTGAAAACCATTTCATGATCTAAACTTCATTTTTTAATGAGAAGCACCGTAAGGAAGTGTAGAGATTATATATTTGTAGATTTTTTGCGGCTCAACTGCTCTGAAGGAAAGATCAAGAAAATAGTCGCAATAAATCTTGAACAGCTGATCCAGGAAATTGAATGACTCACATTTACAGTGAGTTGGAATCCGACGATGAAAAAAGAAGCAGAGCTTAAAAAATCGAAATTATTTTATTCTTGATTATAAAAATTGTAGGTATGGATCTGAATTTACAGAAATGAATTATATCGCACTTGTTCTCCTGTAATGTAAATTATTTTTTTTTTAAGTTCATACATTCTCTTCTCCATTAAATAATTCCAATAAACTTCTCCATTAAATAATTGAAAAAATCATCGAGATTTTCTCTTCCCCGTCAGACCCTGGAGCTCATATCGGACATGTGTTCGCGGCCTTCGCAGCTTTTCTCCCATTCCAGCGACCGCCCCGATTTTTCAACCAAATTTCCAGACAGCGCCGAATTTTTGGAATCCAACTCAAAAAGTGCAAGAGTATCAAATTGCCGAATAGCTCTCAGGCTACCTCAAGCACCGTCCAGTTTTGGGTGGGGCGGTCCACTGGAACTGGGTGGTCGGGCCCATGGAGCTTCTGGACATCGCAATGAGGCGCCCACGGTGCCTTCATTCTCCGGCTGTATTGCCAAAGTCCATATCAACGGCCAGGTTGGTTAGGGTCTCACTCTCCAGGGGCCCATTCAGGCCCTTGGTGATTTGGGCATTGTTTATTTCCTATTTTACTGGACAAGTTTGCATTAGACTTGGTTTTTAATTCATGTTTTGATTATATGTTAAGTTAATTTTCTCCATATCAACGGCCACGTTGGCTGGGGCAATTCAAATCTTTAGACTTTGTTTATTTCCGAGTTTACTGAGCAAGTTTGCATTAGTCTAGGATTTTAATTTATGTTGTGATTATATGTTACGTTATTTTTCCAAATGGTTCACACGCTGTGAAGCATTGAGCCTTGCAAACGGCCTTCTCCCGTACTTTGTCGGGGTGTCTTTAGTATCAAATTGCCGAATAGCTCTCAGGCTACCTCAAGCACCGGCTAGTTTCGGGTGGGACGGGCCACTGGAACTGGGTGGTTGGGCCCATGGAGCTTCTGGACATCGTAATGAGGCGCCCACGGTGCCGTCATTCTCAGGATGTATTGCCAAAGTCCATATCAACGGCCAGGTTGGTTTCCAGTGAAAATTTACAGACGCGTCAGCTTCTGATTTGGATTACCAGAAGCTGGGGCGACTCTAAATTTTGTTAGGGTTAGGGCCTCACTCTCCAGGGGCCCATTCAGACCTTTGGTGATTTGGACTTTGTTTATTTCCGATTTTACTAGACAAGTTTGCATTAGTCTAGGTTTTTACTTTATGTTGTGATTATATGTTAGGTTATTTTTCCAAAATGGTTCACTTGTTGTGAAGTTTCGAGCCTCACAATCGCCCTCCTCCCGTACTTTGCCGGGGTGTCTTTGTATTTTGTGGGCGAGTAATTTTAAACTTCTTTCAGTTTTCACGCCGGTAAATTGATTTTTTTTCTATATTTTGAGAGCGTGAAAGCTTCCCGGATTCGTTTCCATTTGCCGCTCATTATCGGGAATGCTCCTTTTTTGGCCCGACTTCTGTGCAATTTTTTGGCAGTATCATGAAGAAACGCTAGTTTTTTTCGAAAATTTGAATTATTTTGATAATCAGATATTAATTTTCGTAAGAGATTTCATAAACGAAAAGTTTTATATAAAAGCTTTATGCCATTAAGAAGTAATTAAACTGAACGTTTTAACAATTTTTTTCCTGATTATCGTGCCCTAGCTCTGCATCTAAGAGAACTATTATCAATGATATGATAATTACAATTAATAATTGATAATAATTAATGAAAATAATATTCATATTTTGAATTATTTTTATCAGCGTCAACAAATTTAAAATGTCAGTTTTTATTTCGGAAAAGATATTAAAGTTGATCTCTATATTAATTATAACAACATATTATGCAGGTTATATAAATTTGTTTTATAGGTTCATTATATTGTGTTCTATTTTATCACACGTTAAATAAGTTTATTATAGCATTATATGAATTCTTTTCACAGATTATTTAGGTATATTATAATACGCTAAAAATATTATGACAACATGCAAAAAATGAGTAGGTATCATCACAAGCTATCATCATAACATATTATAAAGGTTCATTATAACCTGTTATTTAGGCATGTTAAGGTTCGTAATAACTTCTTATAAAGGTTACCACACCTCTTATTACTTTATTATAACTTATTTTAAAGGATACAACACGTCATATTAGTTTATTATAACATGTCGCATCCTATTAGTTTATTATAACTTGGTATAAAGCTTACAACACGTCATAGATGTTCATTATAACTTGTAATAAAGGTTAAACACGTCATATTAGTTCATTATAACTTGTTATAATGAACTACAGGTCATATTTACACGTCATATTAGTTTACATATTACATTATACATATTACAACACGTCATATTAGTTTATTATAACTTGTTATAAAGGTTACAACACGTCATTATAATTTATTATAACATGTCACGTTATATTAGTTGATTATAACTTGTTTTAAAAGTCGCAACAAGTCATATTAGTTTATTATAACATGTCACGTTACATTAGTTGATTATAACTTGTTATAAAGGTCACTACACGTCACATTAGTTTATTATAACTTGTTCAACATAGTCATTACATAAGCTGTATCACAGCTACAAGACCTGGGCCCAGCGCTGCTCAGTAGCGGCAGTGCGGCGGGTTGTCGCTCCCTGGCCTGCCTGCGCCCCCACAACACGTGCCCCCTCCACGCCAGGTGATCACTTCTTATTGATACTATTCATTTATAATGTATATTAGAATATTTGTCTTTTAAGGCAAGAATATTATGACCAATGATATTTAAAGGTAAAAGGTTGATGCTTTTTGTCGATACAGGTACTTTTTCATTTTAATAAATGAATTTTTGAATAGAAGTCAGTGTCAAATTGAATGAATTTGTGGATAGAACCCAGTGTCAATTGTCTAGCAAATTGAGAGAATTCAAGTAACGAAACTCGTGTATATTAACCCCAGGTGTGTAGGATCACCGGGGACGGAGCTGTGTGAATGTGTCCCAGGTTACACAGGACACGAGTGCACACAGCGGTCCGTGCCTGTATACTTCCGTGCCAACAGCTTCATGCAGTTCGCATTATCCTTCACTCCACCGCCTCATACCACCGACCTCTCAGTCAGGTCTGCTAAATATTAATTAATTGTTACTTGGTGTCTAGATTATCACTAAATATTATGCATTACTTGAGTGCCAACAGCTTCGTGCAGTTCGCATTATCCTTCACTCCACCGTCTCATACCACCGACCTCTCACTCAGGTCCACTGTTAAATAATCGTTACTTGTTATCTAGGTTGTCGCAAGATATTATGACTTATTTTAGCCAAATATTTTGATATATTTTAGCTAAATATTATGACTCATTTTAGCTAAATATTATGACTTATTTTAGATGAATAGTATGACTTGTTTTAGCTAAATATTATGACCTATTTTAGATGAATAGTATGACTTGTTTTAGCTAAATGTTATGACTTGTTTTCGATGAATGTTGGGACTTGTTTTAGCTAAATATAATGATTTATTTTAGCTAAATAGTATGACTTATTTTAAATGAATCTTATGACTTGTTTTAGCTAAATATTACGACTTATTGTAGTTAAACATTATGATTTATTTTAGTTAAAACGTATAACGTAATTTTTAAAAATATGAGAGGTTCTTCGTTTTAATACGATATAATACCTGTAGTTTACTGATTACTCAATTCAAAATTCACAGCAAGGTTAAGATACGCAACTCATCATAAAAATTTAATAACATAAATAACATTACCATAACGTATAATAAAATTAAATAAAACTCCAACACATTTCAAAATTTTGTAAGACTTATGCCCATGTCAGAGATAGTGGACTGTCCGGCACAGGTTCAGGACCAGAGAGCCGGCCGGAGAGCTGGTGTCTCTGAGCTCCCGTCACGGCAGAGACTCTCTGAAGCTGCTGCTGGTAGACGGGCGTCCCTGTCTCGAGCTGTCCCTGCACCCAGAGACTCCAGCGCGGCTCTGTCTCGCGTCTCGTCTCAATGATGGTCTCTGGCACCGTCTCGAGGCCGTCAGGTACGACCATAGTGATGCGGCCGTAGAGTCTGGCAGACACGGCCGTAGAGACTGGCAGACACGGCCGTAGAGTCTGGCAGGCACGGCCGTAGAGTCTGGCAGGTACGGTCGTAGTGTTACGGCCGTAGAGGCAGGCAATTAGTAGAAGTACAAGCACAGGGACCGTGTTCCGATGATAGCCGCTAATTGGTCTTTGAATTGTTGAAAATTTATTTCATGACATCCAGTCTAACTTTCCACAGTGCGGTAATGCATTGATTTAAGTAATTATATCCTTAGTTCGCTTAAATCGTAAGTTCATCGAGAATTTATAAGCAAAGAAATTATTGATCAAACATATATATTGTGAACCTAGTTGGCGTTTTGTGGGGTTTTTCTATTTATTGGTTATTCAGTATAATTATACTAAAATTTAATACTTATACTTATAACTTAAGGGATAAAAAATACCTGAGATTTTTTGTGCCAAGTACCACTAATAAAATTGGTCCATGCTTTCACAAAAACTAATGGGTGATATTGTCTTAATAGTTACATACTGGAACAAGTGATGCACCGTGAATTTGTAGCATCTGAAACAGAGAATATTTCATTTTATCATAATAATAATAATTATAGTAATAATATAATAACTCCTCCGAGACTCAACCTCAAAATGAAGCGAACGGCAGTGGCAGGGCTGTGCACTCAGAGAAATTAATGATAATTTGTACGAAAAAGTATGCATTTTTGTGCTTGTGTGGGTCACCCTGACCCTGTTTAGCCCATGAATGTGTCAGTGCAGGGTTCTGCTGTGTTGCATGTGTGACAGTGTTTCAATATTCAGATAATACGATACATCCATTGTCGTTAAGTGTGTCACTATCCAGACAATATGACACATTCATTGTCGCTAAATGTGTCAATATCCAGACAATATGACACATTCATTGTCCCTAAATGTGTCAATATCCAGACAATATTCTATTTATTGGTTATTCAGTATAATTATACTAAAATTTAATACTTATACTTATAACTTAAGGGATAAAAAATACCCGAGATTTTTTGTGCCAAGTACCACTAATAAAATTGGTCCATGCTTTCACAGAAACTAATGGGTGATATTGTCTTAATAGTTACATACTGGAACAAGTGATGCACCGTGAATTTGTAGCATCTGAAACAGAGAATATTTCATTTTATTATAATAATAATAATTAAAGATAATAATATAATACCTCCTCCGAGACTCAACCTTTAATATCAGAATGAAGTGAACGGGAGTGGCTGGGCTGTGCACTCAGAGAAATTAAAGATAATTTGTACGAAAAACTATGCATTTTTTTGTGCTTGTGTGGGTCACCCTGGCCCTGTTGAGCCCAACAGATGAATATGTCAGTGCAGGGCTTTGCTGCGTTGCATGTATGACAGTGTGTCACTATTCAGACAATATGACACATTCATTGTCGTTAAGTGTGTCACTATCCAGACAATATTACGCATTCATTTCTCTGCATGTTGCTCTCTAATGTCGGTTGCATTGATCAGTGAAGTCGTTACAGCTTCCGAAATTTTGCATTTCACGTACGAGCAGCAGCAGTAATACCGCCCTAGTGATGCAGTAATTGTCTGGTATAGCAAGCCTATTGTCCAGTTGTACAAAGGCTTTACTACGAAGCAGCGTATATATGAAGAAAACTACATTATTTTCTCGTATATTCATTAGTCGTTCGCGTTCATATCATTCATTAATCAGTAATAGCATAGAAAAACAATAGAAACAGTTGCGTGGCAGTTGTCATTGATTGGAAATTAACATTTTTTTATAACATAGAAAAATAAATTTGAAAAACTGGAGTTCATTTGGATTACTCGTCACTGTAAAGAACTGTTACAACTCATGACCAAATAATTCCTTTCGTTACCATGAATTGAATGTATTCATAGCAGGTGCGTGCATTAACAATCATGCCGATAATCATGCACTCCTATACTACAATACACATATACTCTAAATAATAGATACATATGTTCGCACTGACATATTGGAGCAAATATTAATATTTATAATAAGGGACACAAAAAAATAATAGCGAGTGGCAATTGCCATTTTTCGTCCACCCCTGACGAATGGACAGCAGGNGACTTCTTCAATGGTGGGGACTGGCTGAGGGACTTGGGGACTTCTTCAATGGTGGGGACTGGCTGAGGGACTTGGGGACTTCTTCAATGGTGGGGACTGGCTGAGGGACTTGGGGACTTCTTCAATGGTGGGGACTGGCTGAGGGACTTGGAGACTTTTTCAATGGTGGGGACTGGCTGAGGGACTTGGGGACTTCTTCAATTGTGGGGACTGGCTAAGGTACTTGAAAATGTGGAGAACTGACTTAGGGACTGGTTTCTTAGGGAGGACTGGCTTCTTAGGGAGGATTGGCTTCTTAGGGAGAACTGGCTTCTTAATTAGGGAGGACTGGCTTTTTAGGAGGACTGGCTTTTTATGAGGACTGGCTTCTTAGGGAGGACTGGCTTCTTAGGGAGGACTGGCTATGGACTTGCTTTTTGATAAGGTCTTGGACTTGGCACAAGGCTGGCGCGATATTCCGAGTATCCTAGACTTAGTAATATAAATTAAGTTAATTTTAAGCGCTGAATATTTATCCACCTCAGATATTCATCTGAGGATACTAGGATTAATATATTGAATTTAGGTACAATTGGATATTAAAGTAGAAAGAAAGCGTTGAAACTTTTATTGTTGTGGTTCCGAAAAGAGAATTGGTTCGCAGAACGAAGCCAGGAGGAAACGAGAAGCACGCAGCGCGATGAGGAACTCGTGTACTGTAGTAGAATGGGTTCACACATTAGTACAAGTTCGAACGTTAGGAGTCTAGAACACAATATTTAATTTCAGTTGAATGAGTCACTGTTTCAGGTGAATGTGTCTTTCTCTCCTTTTCTCCCTATTTTTTGGGTGTGGCCAGAGCGTGTTGTGCGCGGGTAGTTTCGGTTCAAAAATCAGAAACGGCAGAGTTGAAGACCAAGTAGAGGCGGTTGGGTGGATTCTTATCTGAATAAGACAGAAAACCAACTTAAGCCTAAAATTAATAGATTCGAGGATTTAACGGAGTGAATTTCAGTATGTTTCAATAAATTCAGAATAATGATAACACAGTTTCAAATAATCAAAATAACAAACCTATTTGTTTCCGTTGAGGAACCCTAGATAAGGGTTCGCATGTAGAGAACAATTAGAAAGAAAATAGTGAAAACAGTAATAGGAGTGTTCGCTCTTACTTGAAGAGTTAAGCGCATGCAAGTTAATTCACAGCACTAAGGCATGTGTCATAATCGGTTAACACCGTAGCTTCAAGGAGCCAATAACTCAACGGGTTTCAACCAGCGGCGTAAAGCCAGTTAAGCAAGATCTTAAACGAGTGAAACACAGAAGTGCTAACATACATTAAATGAAACAAAATAAAATGAAAACACACTCGCACAAACTCAAATTAAGTAACAGAAAAGCAAGATTGATCAATGGTTTGAGCAGGAGGTCTTCACTCCGGTAAGGTTAAAGCAATAGTCCTTAAGATAGAGCTAAGGAGCGTCGACTCTGCCTCCTAACACGAGACAAACGATAAGCGTATAAACGTTAATGACTTCATTAGATAATAAATTTTAACATAATATTAAGGATATTCTTTCTGCATCCTCGTTTCAATTTGAACTCAAAGAAAGGGACACGTCTTTAAATCTTCTGTTTGAGTTACAGAAGATTTAAATCCCTCTTCCTGGAAGGTTTTACCTATACAAATCTCGATTAACGGTTTAGATTTAACCCTCAGCTCATGCCTAGAATTCGGCCACCACATACTAACGTACTTTTTTGAAAAAAAAAATGAAATTCTCGCCGTATTTATGTAGCTTTTTTCTAACAAGAAATGGCTTCACATCATCTCCGTATTTACGTACTTTGGTTCATAAAAATTACTTGACATCGTAGCCGTATTTACAAAGCTTTATTTGAACTAAACACAAACAAACGGTTCGTCTCCGTACTTTCTTAGGTTTGTTTAAACAAACGGTTCATCTCCGTATTTTCGTAGTTTTGTTTAAACAAACGGCTTGACATCGTCGCGCCGTATATTCATGTTGGCAGATTGTTTTTCTTGGAGTTTGCGGTCACAGAATAAACTCCGCGGCATTTCACGCCTAATCTCGCATTCACCTACAGCACAAGCCTCAATGTTATCGCTTACAAATTATCACATTGATTTTTTACGCTCAAAGTAGGTTCTGTATTTTGCGAAGTAAATAATTTCTAGCAGATTAATAATAAATATTCACTGTATCTGTTTTCTTAGTTCAAATATTTATTCGTTTTCCATATCGCGGCAGGAGACTTGTGTGGACGCGATATTCGCTCCACCCGAAGTGCCAAATCTGCAAGTAATTTAACTTCTTTGGCATTAGTTCCATTTAAATTTATTTAAACACATCTATTTATGATCTCAAAACCATGTAATAAAAATAGTTTACGAATTGAATGAAGAGTAGGGTCGAAGGATCGTTTGCGACAGTGAAATTCGCTTTTATATTTTGAATTCGAATAGAAGGTAAAAAATATATGCCACACATTACGTTTAAGATTTCATGTAGAACGTAGCCTAATGAATCTTTCAATTCATTGAAATAAGTTGCATTATTTCAATTTAATTTAATTATCAAGGCACTAGCCTTGGGAAGTTTGTACCAGTAATTGATAGTTAAAACAATTAGTAGTCATTAGTTTTATTTCTAAAGCGATATCTTCTTATTGAATTCCGTAACATGCAATATTATGCTTGCAGTTAATAACCACAATTCTAAACTTTCTCTCCTTGATCCTTTGCATTATCATTATTTACTGAGGTAAAACGTTGATGTTCTTCATTAATCACCACACAACTATATTTCTTAAGTCCTATTAAGGAAAATAATTTCCTATAGGATATTTTGATCCTTA